CATCAGACCAAGGACTCGGACCTGGAGATTGGATCTGGATGCAATGTCACACCTCCCCAAATTTAGAGGCACTCTGGGTTGGGCCCTATCCGATCATCCTGTCCACCCCATCCGCTGTGACAGTTGCTGGCCGGAGCCACAGGATGCATCGCTCTCAAATTAAAGCGGCACACCCTGACCACGTTCCTCTACAATGGACTGTCAAATGGACTGAAAATCTTTTGGAGGTCCGGCTGGTAAAAGAATCTGCTGGGTAATTTTGTTCTTAATAATTTCCTTGGTTGGAGGAACATTTTCTGACCACGCCTCTGTCCAAAACCGTTGGATAGTTAGCAAAACCACTACGGGACAGGTTTTAGCAAATTCTACTTCTTACGCTTCCCCCGCCTTGACCTTTAATCTGTGTCTTCTGTTCCCCATTGAGTGGAAACAGCAACCACGGTATCCAGGTGCTACCGGAGTGTCACCTTACCAGAGAAACCCAGACTGCCTCAGTTTCAAAGGAGTACAGTTTTATGCTTGTCCCTCTGACGGGCCCCCCAACTGTCAAGGACAAGGCCAGTTTCACTGTGCCTCATGGGTTGTGAAACCATAGCTGACTGGGTTACTGAAAAGGATCAGTTTATACAGTCTATAAGAGCAGTGTCTATGACCAAGAGTCAACACCTAGTCACTATCATCATTAAAAATGGTTTAGATCCCCAGTGGAATACGGGGAGAACGTGGGGATTGAGATTATACGTTTCTGGTCTTGATCCTGGTACTGAGTTCACCATTCAGAGGTTTAAAGTTAGAGCCACCCCTAGAATGCCCATTGGGCCCAATCCTGTAATTAACCCTCTCCCTGACCCTGGAAAACTGCCCCCCAGGCCTCTAGCCCGGTCATCAGCTAAGTCTATGGTCCTTTCGCCCACCACTACTGCCCTTATGTTGACTCCTTCCCCCGCTAGGAACAAACCTGAAGTAAGAGAGACCAATACTTTTAAAGCCTTGTACTATACCTTTAAGTTTGTAAATGCCACCAACCCTATCACTCAGGATTGTTGACTATGTTTGGATCCTAGGTCCCCCTCCTACATAGGAATAGGTGCTCCAGTCCCTTTGGGAACGAGAGAAAACCAAGTCAGGAATTTGAGCCATGGCCAGATGGTCATTGTACCTGGGGGCAGAACCCAAGTCTCACCCTAGGAGATCTAGAAGGAACAGGGACTTGTTTCTATGCTGGAAATTACTAGATAAAACAGTCCAGGTATTTGACTTATTGTAACAGCACCATCTACTTGCCAGATAATACTCATGTGAGGGATACCCTTTACTTCCTTGTACCGCCCTCTGGGACTTGGTTCGCTTGCTCCTTGGGTTTAACCCCTTGTTTAAACCTCCACCTTATAATCAAGAGGTCTGATTTCTGCATTCTAGTCCACCTCCTACCCCAGGTCTTCTACTTTCCAGGTGAAGGAGGAGGAGAACACCTAGGTTTCATTCCCCAGTCTCGATTTACAAGGGAACCCATTTCTACTACCCTAGTGCCCCTCTTTGTAGGACTGGGGGGTCGAAAGATCCATTGGCGTAAGTACTGCCTCTTTCATCACAGGGGATCAGAACTTCAAATTACTAAGCAAACAAATTGATCAGGATATATCAGAATTAGAAAGGAATATCGATAATCTGTCTGAATCTGCAAACTCTTGAGCTAAGGTGGTACTTCAGAATCGGACCTGTTATTTTTACAACAAGGCGGGCTTTGTATGGCCCTTGGGGAACAGTGCTGTTTTTATGTCAGTAATTCAGGAATCATCAAGCAGAGCTTGAGTCAGATCACACAACGACTAGAGGAAAGAGAAAGAGAAAGACAAATTAATCAAAATTGGTATGAGTCTATATTTTCCTGGTCCCCTTGGCTAACAACTCTCCTAAGTGCCCTTGCGGGACCCCTTATCTTTCTCTTTCTAGCTATAACTATAGGACCCTGTTTGATACAACTACTATAAATTGAAAAATAGGATCTATAAAGCTTATGGTATTACATAGCCAATACGTCCCACTAGCCCAAATGCCAGAATAAGGTTATTCGAAGGTTTGAATAACTAACAAACAGGAGTGGGGAATGTAATAGGTCAACTTAAAGATATCAGAAAGCTTATTGTATATAAGTTCGGCTTAAACTCACCTTTCATGAATAATTGAGACAAAAGCTTATGTAGTTCCCTATTAGGCTTAGCGGAAATTACTAACCGCCCTATCTCGCTTCTGTAACTTCACCTGCTTGCTAAATAGATAACTTAGGTTGCAAAACACTCCCCCACCCCTTCTCCCAAGATCTGGCCCAGGCAAGACCAACACGTAAAAAGTCACAAACTCACTGCCCCATGGTATCTTGGGTGTCTAACTATGATTGGTCATTTTAAGCCCTCTTAGGACAAAGAACTTTAAATTGACAGGTGCCCACTGAAACTAACGTCTGTGGGTCACAATATAATTGGCTACCATGAAATGCTGAAAATTGTAATTGGTTAATTAAATAATGACGTATTCTGACTTGCTAAAATCCAGAGAAGCTCACTGCTACCTTTGAGGCCGTTCTCTGCACTTTTCTCCTTAAAATCAGATCAGGTTTGGCCCGACCGTGAATAAAACCTTGCCTCGCTTCTATTCGGCCTCTGGTGGTTTTTTTCGACAGCACCCTGTTTCAAACTTACCATTAAAACTCTGACTAGGGGATTTATTCAACAAACAATTGAATGACTTGGGGGTGGGATGGAAGTCAGAAAGAAGAATGTAATTAATCAACTGATGCTCCATCTGTAAAACAAACAAAGGTTCGACCTTTCTCTACCTTAATTTACATCAAATTATGATTGTTCACTCTCCCTCTTCCTGATAGTCCAAAAACATGAGAAGTTGCCATATATCCTAGTATGTTTTCTAGAATTCAGTAATTTCTCTTTTACAGATGTTTCTTTTTGAGGTAGTTTTTCATGACATTGAAACTGAGTACAATCTGGCTTCACATGGCTTGGGCTTTCCCCTATGAAACTTTTCTTCCAATGCTAGACAAGGGGAGGCCATGCTGGAAAGCTCAGCTCACATAACCTCATTTGACAAATATGATATGTGCCAAAAACTCGACATTTCACAATACAAACTTTTTATGGAGCAGCTTTATATTTCAACTACAATACAGCATTCAAAGAGCATGTGATCTTCCAACCACCTCCCTAAGTCCCAAGGTTCGCTTAAAAATATATGGGGGAGAAACAAAGCTCCTTCACATTATGGCATCAAATCTATTGCTCTCGCTTTGATTCCTTCCTTTTCCATCTGCGTTCTCCCAGGTGGCCAGGTTACTACCCTTGGAGATTCGCTTTCCAGCTGGAGAATGCTGGAGATTCACCAGCACTCCCGGAGGCTGGGGAAGACTTTGATCTAGAAGAAGTGCATTGGAAGTCCTCTCTGGAGGAGCAGTATTGTGACCCAACTGTCATCACAGATGAGATAATGGATAAGAAAATGCTTTGTAAACCATAAAGTCCTAAATGGGAGTGATTGTTTTATCATTGTTAGTATTTTACATATTAGTATTGTCACCACTGCTAATACAAGGAATCATCAAGCTTCCTAATTCAGAGTTCCAATTTAGGCTACAATGCCTCAGCAAGGTACGGTATGAGAAGCTTCAAGAAAAAAATTGGAAAAAAAATACCAACCATCAATGCTCTAGTCTCTGGGAAGAGTTGCCATGCTTATAAGAGCCCAACAGGACCCTAGCTGACTCTAAAAGTAACTTTTTACTGCTGAAATGATCCTCCTTTATCAATGTAACACACCCATATATTCATATTCACACCAAACATTCAAAGATGTTTGCTGCTGAGGTCTCTAGACATTCCACCGTGAAAGGCGTAAAGACCTGGCCACCTTCCTTCCTGCCCCTCACCACCATCCACAGCCTTTTTTCAGACACTCCCACCCCCTGCAACAAAAGTTTCCCAAGCAGCTCACAAATTGGGATCACCCAAAAAGAAAAAGGAAAAAAAATGTGATTCAAGCAAAAATCTAAGTAAGCATACGTATTTGGCACTAAAAGATGCGGAAAGTTGAGTCTGCGGCCAGAGGTGGTTACGTGACCGTGTCCATAATTTTACACTAGACAGTTACATGCAGTGATCTTGGGGGGCTCAGATGAATGTAATGAGAAGCACTTTTCAATTTTTACTGAGTATTTTTCAATAGATAAGTCCATTTAAGCTCCAATGGGGCAGCTTGACAAACTGCTTTCTCAACCAACCTAAAAAAGAAAGAAACAAAAAATAATCATTTCTAACAAGCAAAGATAAAGTAAAATGTTAATCTGGAAGAAATATACTTTCAGGTTTAGAACTCAGTTTTATGAAAAGGATAATCCGCCCCGCCCCTATTTTTCCAGGCCTATAAATGCATTTTTTTCCCCCAGCCCTCGGATAGCTACAAAGACCGAACATGGGGAAGAATTATTTCATTTCTTTTCCGGGGGGTGGGGGGGGCAATTTGGCAATAACATTTTGCAGATCCACCTTGTGCTATTTAGGGACATGAGTTGGAAACTGCTCCTGTTAGTGCTGCTTACGTCTGGATCAGCACCTACTTATAGTCTAATGAAGACCCAGCCCTTTTGTATCTGAGGACAATCTGTGAGTTTGGTCAGTGTCTCTGCCATTGTGTGTCTTATGCTCATTATCAGTAATTAACACAAGGAACAGATAACATCTTGGCTGTTTCAGCCTTCAGGGAAAGAATGATTTTTTTTTTTTTTTAATGCCAGTTAGAACATAAAACTTGATACCAAAGCACTCATATTAAAGTCACAGGCAGTCCTGAAATATGTCCAATACAAACAATAACCCCACTTTATAAAATTTGTGCTCCAATTTCTGCTTTGCACTTCAGAGGGTCCAAGAAGGTACAATTCCAGAAAGGGAAAAGAGATTTCCCTGGTGTCCGGCTTCACCTGAGCATTCCCCTGCATCACGAGATCCAGTTCAGGAGGGAAAAACAGATGTTGGGCCACATTTTCTTCTTAATTCCAGTTGGAATTAAGTTTCATGGTAAACATCTGTATTCAGACAACTTAGGTGGATGATCTAGAAGAATGTAGATGAGGGGCGCCCGCATGGCTCAGTAGGTTAAGTGTCTGACTTCGGCTCAGGTCATGATCTCACCGTTCGTGGGTTCAGGCCCCGAGTCGGGCTCTGTGCTGACAGCTCAGAACCTGGAGCCTGCTTCGGATTCTGTGTCTCCAGCTCTCTCTGCCCATCCCCCTCTCGTGTGCTTGCGCTCTTTCTCTCTCTCTCTCAAAAATAAATTAACATAGAATGTAGATGAGAAAAAATGGCCCTGCTTCTCAACCTCTAAAATTTTCAAGTATGGCCATCACTGAGAAGTAGACAGAGAAAGGGAGCTGATCTTATCTCCTGTATTAGATTTCCAGCCATACTGAGCAACCAGCTTGATTTTGCCTAACCTGCAAGACAGAAAGGTGCTTATCAATATCCAAAATATTTCCACAAACATCTACCAGGGAACTTTTGCCATTATAGGAAATACAAACCAAAAAGTCACCTGTCTCATTCAATTTGCTGATAATATATTTCTAAGGAATCTCAGGACAACAAAGATTGAATAGGTAGATGTACAAATACAGATTAATTCCAAGTAATGCCCTTGGTAATGCAGGTGGGTTTGGTTTTTACTTAATGTGAGATGAATGCTTTGTAATCAACCAAACTTAGGTCCGGGACCAAGCTCTGGCACTAACTAAGCTCTGTGAGTTTAGAAAAATTACCCAAACTCTCTGAGCCAGTTTCCTTATCTGTAAAAAGGGGATAATTATAATATGTATCTCCTAGTCCTATTGTTAGGATTAAGTGAGTTGATAAAGATGAAGCAATTTAAGTAGTGTCTGATACCTGTAATCGCGCAATAAATGCTAGCCATCATTATTAGAAATATTCCCAGTCCTCTCTCCTGCTGTGTTCTGATTTTCAGCAGCCAACATTACTTCTAGCTATCACTTAAAGGGGGCAATGTACACATTTCTGAGAAAAACGTCATTTCGGGAACAGACGAGGAAATAGAGAAACACTGAGGATCAGAGAACCCACTCATTTACACTGAAGAGAAAGTTCCATTTTGCTGGAAATCTGAAGAGCCCTAGAGAAAGCAGAACACGATGTTTTCATTTCTGGCCCTCTTACACATCTGTGAACAGATTCCAATGATAATGCTTTCCCAACAGGGATAGTGACTTTGCATGCCAGAGCATTCCAGAGAAAATTGCTGGAGACCTGCACCCTACCCCCAACCTGCCACCAAATAAGCATAGCTAAACTGGCTTCTCATCTCTGTTAAAAATGGCGGGAATGTAGTCAGCCTCTGTATATGTTCCGCTTCCTTGGAAGGGCCTTTCTAAGAACAGAGAAGGCCTGCATCTTTTTTTCCTGATAGAGAACTATGCTGCCAACAGAGTTTGAATGGTTAACCAAACTATCAAGGAAGGATTCTAGAAGGAATACCTTCCTTTTAGAAGGAAGCACAGGCCAAGCATGGGCTTTTGAGATGAACAGATCTGGCTTTAACCTTAGATCATGCTTCCATTTACTGGCTTTGTGATGTTGGGCAAACTAGTTAACTTATTCTGTGATGTTTCCCCATCTAGGTTGACTATTCATGCCAGTCTGCCTGGAATGGTTCTAGATTATATCTATTGCCCTTGGTAGTTAATAAAAGCTGCGCTATTACTCCAAAAGGGCTCCAGTTTGGACAATAAATTATACAGCTACCTCACTCTTCTGTAAAATTTAAAACGTAGTCACCTCAAAGGGTGGTTGTGAAGTCTAGCCATAGTGTATATTCACTGCTACCACAGTGCCTTGCATATAGAAAGTGTTCAATTAAAACTCTCTTCCTCTTTATTTACTTCCGATCTGCGTTGTCCCGTACATTAGTCGTTAGTCTTGCATGGCTGTTGAGCACTTGAAATGCGGCTGGTTCAAGCCGAGATGTACTGTGAGTGCAAAATACACCAGATTTTAAAGATTGCATTTCTATTGAGCAGCACTGACCCAGATGGTCTAGTTATACCTCTGCTACACCCTCACACACTTCATTCCATCAACACCACCCCACCTCACCCTCTGAATTCTTCCTTCTAGAACTCAAGGCAAGAATCAGGTATAATTTCATCATATTTATCAGCATATTCTTAAATTATTCTGGGTTTTTCAAGGTAAAAGGGTAATAAGCTAAGGGGCAACACAAAATCGACTTTGATCATGTCCCTCAGCTATGGCTTCTCCTTAGGGATAAGACCACTGACCTTCAGTACATTAGGAAAGCTGAGGAGCCCGTGCCAACTCTGGAAAATGTCCATGTTGGCAAGAAAAAAGGAGCTTGGTTTGCCAGAAAAGATATCGCAATCTCTCCCTGGATCAGATGGGCTAATTCTTGTGAATGCTTGTGAAACACCTCAGGCCCCAAATCCAAATAACATAAAGAGCTGGGGCCCAGGAGCATGCCATAGGTACTGCCTCTTAGAAAAGAAGAATTTCACGTCAAGAAAAACCACCAACTGTCAGCCCAAAAAAAAACGTCTTCTGAGAGCATTCAAGTAACCTCTAGCCCAACTTTTGTAGATCCCCCTGATGATGGATGGAAGAGTTGAGGAACAGCAAAGTAGAGGGCAAATTCACTCCAAAACAATAATTCAGTCAATGCCCGTGCCACAGTGATACAACTAGTTGGGAAGAAAAAAAAAAAGCGCCAACATTCAATTTTTAAAATATTAGCAAATCGGATTCTTAAAGCGTTTCTATCAAATAATGTACTTAACAAAACCTCTTCGGGTTCACAATATTTTTACAAAATGTTTTGTCTGGAAAATGGAAAACGTTGGCTGAGGTGGTTGTCCAGGCATCCCAGGCCAACTGTCGAAGACGTAAAGAGAAACGATTCAAACTGGTTTCTCAGCACAACCAAAAAAGAGCTGTAGTCGATGTATTGAATTTTTCATATTTCAACCAGTTGCTTTGGTGCTGTGCGCACACACACATCGACTCCACTCCTCAGAAGAGCACCTTCCTTACCGATGGCCCCGAAGTTTGGAAGGAGGGAAAAGAGAGACAATATGAGAAGTATGTGTTGGGTCGATTTAATATTTAATGTGTTCCATGAGATGCTTTGTGTCTGAGCTCCACCAGCTCTCATCGGGTAACTCCCTCACCCCCTTCACCCCACAATCAAATAATTCCCCTCCCTTTGATAAGAAGCCAACGTAGGGAGAGGCAGTGGTCTGGAAGTGGAAGAAAACACAGTGGACCTCTCACTTTCCCTCTCTAACCACAACAATTGGAGGAGACTTTGGCCTGAAAAATCGATCTGCTACCAAATGGTACCCAGATGGAGATCACAGCTGGTCTCTGGTACCATCCATCTTCAGAACAAGCCTGTTGCCGAAGAGAAGAAAAGTGGGTTGACAGAGCAGTTAGAGGGCCTCTCTTTTCTTCTGCACGCTTTTCCTTTTATCTTTTCCCCTTCAATTTCAGAGCTTCTTGTTCTCACCTTCATGCTGTGGCAGCGCTAACACAGAAAACTGCAGTCCTGGAAACCCAGTGGTGAGTAATAGCCCCAGGCTCTGAATACCTAATGTCTGTTGTATGTGGTGGGGTGGGGAGAGCCAGGGGGAGGGGATCCATTTGGTCAAATTGCCTGCCTTGGAATAAGGACCTTGTGGTGAGGACCCCAATACATCCAGCGAGTATCTGACTTTTGATACCTGTCTTCTAATTAAATCCAAACATCTAATATGCGTGGCCTTTAGGAATGCATTGTTCAAACAGATTTGATTCTTGCCCGGAGCCTTTCAAGCCACTGACCACTTTGAACCTAATTAGAAAAAGCAGAGGACACTGCAGACATTTAATAAAAGGAATCAGGTTGCCGCTTCATCTTCATGACCTGGGATTTATAAGGGAATTTCACTGGCTTTGTAGCAATGTAAAATAAATAGACATTAGATGATGACAGGGAAAACAAAATTGCTGCCAAAGCTAAAAAGAGCTTGGCAAAAGAAGAAAGAGCTAGTACATAGTCAGTCATTATTTACTGTACAAACCTTTTCACAAAGCATAAAGGAGAGATACATAGGAATAATGGGCCCTCGCGAAGGATGAAAAGGGCTTTCTGTAGCTACATTATCCCCTGACGAAGACACTTACGTGCCCCAGTGTTACACAATCTTATTGTTCTACTCAG